ATGGCGGAGCATTCCTCTCTGCCAAGGTGTGAGGGCCATATGTTTGCCGCCTGCATCGCTGCGGTGGCCGGCTGGCCGTCCTTGCCTCTGCCCACCGGCAAGGCTTGCACCAGAAGTTTCTTCTTGGACCCTGCGCCCATGCGTCGTAAAGTAGCAAAAGCCTTGTCTGTAGCGTTTTTGTCCCACTCCGACTGCAGCTGGTCGGCTAGGCCGTAGTAGTGCATCATGGCGTTCTGTTTTGACAAACATTTGATCACAGATGTGTTGTGTAGTTGGAAGAGCTCCCGAATGGCAATTGTCTTTCCCTCCACGTCCCGAATGTGCCCCCAAAGGGCCTCCAGAAAATCCAAGACGGAGCCTCCCATCCCAAGGATGCTGGCAAGGTCCGAGATGGTGGAGAGTCGGTCCACGGGCCGATGAACAAGTCGGAGCCACGTGGCCCGTCGTCTTTTAGACTGATCTGCATTCTGCATAGCGGCAGAGGCAGCCATGGCATCCCTAAGAGCCTCCCCAAGACCGTTGAAAGCACGACGGCACCGTTCCCAAGATAAGACCACCGTAGCGGGAGTGGGAGGTAGGGTGGTAAGGGCCCGACCGATAAAGTGAAGGTCAAGCAGCCGCGCACTATGTGTATGTTGCGCCCACAGAAAAATACAACTGCTCTGGCTGCCTTGGCGGCCGTGCTCCGCCCCTGCCGAGCTTGCCTCAGCGCCTGCGTGCGTAGGTCGATGGCATTCATCGCATCCTTCTGGATCCAGCCCTGCCGAGGCTGTCGTACCCTATCCGCAGTCTTCACAGGGAAAGCTTCTTGCACGCATGTGCGCACATGTTGATCCAGAGTATGTGTATGATCCGAGCTGTGTGTAGCGAACTCAACATGAGGGGCCCTTCGGAGCAACTGTATGAAGGGAGCCCTGGCCTCGGGACCCTCGAGCATTTCGGCATCATGTGGTATGCGGTGTGTGGAGGTGATCTCCTGTAGGCAACCTGAGGGAGGCAATAAGTAAAGCACCTACTGCCTGATGGTCCTCCTGAGCGACGGTAAGATCCACCACTCCGTCCACGCCCTGCTGCAAGACGGCCACGCTGTCCGACGTGGTTACACAATCTCTGCGACGAGACTTGGTTTTATTGGATGGTGCCGCCCAGGAGCCCGAGATACCCGGATACGAGGGGAGGAACGTAGAGGGGGCCCACTGCTGTGTATCCAAGAGGTACCGATGGAAATGTACTCCTGCTAAGTTCTCCTCTTCCTCATCCAGTTTGCCCACTGCGGGCGATGCAACGCTTCCTAGCGCAGCGTTGGAGTCAGCCAAGGTGATGAGATGTTCAGCACCGAGGCGCGTATCCCGCACGAGCTGCAAAGTGGCGCCCCACCACTCGGCTACCTTGACATCAGGAGACGGCGCAGGTGATTTGGATCGCGAGTGGGGAGCACGCAGCACAATAACATTGATTGAAAGACCATGCCCTCGAATCGTCACAATCAGTCTGGCAGGTTCCGCGTGTAGTGCCCGACGCATCTGCTTAGTGACACGGTGACCTGGTAGGTACCCGATACCCTCATGGATCCACAAAGCACACCCGTCGGAGCCCTGAGGGGTAGCAGTAGAGTGCAGGACGAAGTATTCACCCACAGTCTGTGCTTTGTGTACACGTAGCCTAGTCTCCAGAACCCCCACCAAGAGATACCGTTGAGCTGAAAACTGCGTGGCCAGTTGCATGAGCCGTCCAGGCCCTGGGCCCGTAGAGTCCTGTAAGCCATCCCAGACGTTGGGATGCAGAGTAAGAACGCCGGCAGTGGCGACCCAGAACTTAGGCGTTCTATGCTGCAGTTTGTTTCCCAAGGTGGGGGTGGCAGCCTCTGCGGGAGCTGGTGCGTAGTCCTTCATTGAGGTGACGGGATCTAGGGCTGGTTGCAACGGCACCCTATGCGCGGGTGGATACTGCACGCGCTGTTTGGCACTGAGAAAATCTGTCCACAGCCACGGAATTGCCCGAGCGTGCCATGGCAGATCCAGCTGTGCTCTCCACTGAAAGTCTGGATGCTCAGGCAGAATGTCCATGGCAACAAGTCAGGCAAGGGTGTCTGCCATCTCGTTCCAAGGAGCTCCCTGGTGACATGAAATATGGGCCCAAGTGAAATCCTGCGCATGCCGTTTGAGGACCGGGACGAGCCCATCCAGAGTACGTTTGAGATCCAACAGATTGCCCTTAAGGGCCCCCAGACTAGCACCTCTAACCACCTCCATGTTATCGGCGTGTAACGTCACAGACCAATTGATGTCGCATGCACCACGCGGCAGCCCATATGGCAGCCTCAAACTCCGCAACTGCAGACAGCAGGGAGGGAGGATAGATGCACGAATCGTAACCGAGAAGCCATCTGTGTGCCCCCTTTTCCGCAATGACAACGAATGACCAAGCTGGAAGGCATTTTGAGTCATTCCAATTCTTGAAACCGCCAGCGGTTCCGTCCGTGTAGATATCGATCCTGATGGGAACGCTCGAAAGTTCCATCCCGGGGCCGGGAGTCGAAGATAAGTTGCCCAAGGCTGTGATAGTCGTAGAGTGCCAAAACTGTGCGTACGTAAGTATGTCGGTTCGCAGAGGTGCACTCCATCTCCTTAGAAGTAGGTCCTTAGTCGGGCCCAGAGCGGGAAGCGGGCTGAGACTGTATAGGTGGTTCAGACTCTGCTCAGCAGAGGGGGGGGGGGAGGCGGAGTGGGGCAATCCTCTAGGCCGTCTGCTGTCTGCAGCGGCGCATGCACATCCACTGCAGACATATCTGTTTGTCACAGATCGCTCTCTGGAGGCTCGGCACTGGCACGCAAGGCTGGTTGCTCACCGCTGGCAACTGGCACCTGCTCACCTGTCGGCTCAGCGGCCGCCGTGCCTTCCATGTCGTCATCATCGGCAGACTCGTCCGAGTGTACGTTGCGTGCTGCGTTGGCTGCCTTCTGCCTTTGAGCGGCCTTGTCGAAGGCGACTTTCAGGATGCTCTGTCCTGGTGCTCGATGTGGTGTGTGCGCTCGACCTCCCGATCGGCCCGCCCCTGGGGTGGCTTTGCGGGTACCGCCCAGACGGCGCTGCGCCGCAGGCGGGCCGTTGTCGCCTCCTGGCTCCGCTGCCTCCTCGGCTGCGCGCGCGGCGGCAGCCACTGGCGACACTCCCCCATTGGCTGATGGGGGGGCGGCCATGAGGTGGGCAGTCAGTGCTAGCAGCTTCTCTGAAAGGTCGATGTTGGTAGCCTGCATGGCGGCAAGCTGGGCCACTGCCGACGCATTCGCTGGAGTACTCTGGGGCGCTGCTGTGGCATCCGTCGCAGCACCTTCGGTCTCGACTTGCATTGCCGAGCCTTGTTCCTCGCGCTCGGCCTTCTCCAGCTGCGTGAAGTGGTCAAGCAGCCCCTCCGCTTTCTTCACGTCCTCGATGAGGCTGTGCGTGTGAGCGGCCGCAACTTTGGCCTGCTCTTGCAAATCCTTCTGATGCTTCTGAGCGTCACTGAGTCGCTTGCGTATGCGGTCGAGGTATGCCTTCTGCTGATCAGCTCTCGTCTTGGCATCTCGTGCATACATGACCTGGTGCAAAATTACTGAGTAATCCTCCTCCAGCGCACTTATTACTGTGCGCGTCTGACCCATCTCGTAGGCCGAGTGGATCTGTCGCTCGATGGCGTCCAGGGAGTCCTTCAGCCTCGCACGGTGCGCCTTGAGCTCCTTGACTGAGTTCGGCGGGGGGAGTCACAGCCTGTGAGCCTGCGCGACCTCTGGCTCTGCTGGCCGCGGCAGAGGCGGAGGCGCTGGCTGCGTGGCCGCCTCCCTGGCGGGCGCCGCGCTCTGTGAGCGCTGAGGCGGTGCGGTGGCGGTGTCCCATGACCAGGTATGCCACGGCGCAGCTCCTGTCTTCCACTGGGCCTGCTGCTGCGCCTTGGCTTTGCCCTGGTCGTCCTTGGATCCACTCGTTGGTGTCCTCGTCGTCGTCGCACTCGTCGGGCTGGGTGTCGGGCTGTGTCGCGGGGTGCGAACCAGAACCTGCACGTCGAGGAGCTGTAGATGTTCGCCCTGGAGCAGGAAGTGCACTCCCAGAAACGTGGCGGCAGCTGGCCGCCTCGGCGAACTCCCGTAATGGCGCCACGCTTGTCAAGAGCGTACGTCATGCTGCTGTGGCGCTCGTCCAAGAGGCGGGTTGCTGCCGCGACGCGCGCCAGCACGCGATCCTGCGAGCGGCGAGCCCGCTCGCGCCTGTGCCACGCGGGCTCGGGGGGGAGGCCCGCGCGAGCCGTGGCGGAGGGCCCGGAGCCTGCCACGGCGCGAGCAGCAATTGCACGGCCAGCCGCCTCGGCTAGAGGCGGGCCAGCGCGTATGGCCTCTGTCCAGCAAGGGGTTTCGCTGATCCTTCGGATCAGCACCCAAAAACCCCTGGGCCGGGACGGCGGCTGTAGGAGGTAGGAGGTAGGAGGGAGGAGGGAGGAGGGAAGAGGGAGGAGGGAGGAGGGAGGAGGAGGAGGATGATGATGATGATGAGGAGGGAGGAGGAGGAGGAGGAGGAGGAGCAGGAGGAGGAGGAGGAGGAGGGAGTAGGAGGAGGAGGAGGAGGAGGAGGAGGAGGAGGGAGGAGGGAGGAGGGAGGGGGGAGGAGGAGGAGGAGGAGGAGGAAGAGGGAGGAGGAGGCGGCGTCGGCGGCATGGCGTGCGCCTCGTGAGGCGCATCGAGTGCGCCGCACGCCGCCGTGGAATGCCCATCCGCGCGCCCCTGCTCGATCCCCTCTCTCGCTCGTCCTCCCTCGATGGGTCCTCCTCGATCCTCGCTCGATCCTCGATCCTCGCTCGATCCTCGTTCGATCCTCGCTCGATCCTCGACCCTCGCTCGATCCTCGATCCTCGCTCGATCCTCGTTCGATCCTCGCTCGATCCTCGATCGTCGCTCGATCCTCGCTCGATCCTCGCTCGATCCTCGATCCTCGCTCGCTCCTCCCTGATTCTCGACCCCCACCCCATCCTCCTCGATCCGGCTTCGCGGTCCAGCCTCCTGGACCCCGCTCACCATTCAGACGGAGCAGAAGGTATCCGGGCGAGCACCACAAGGAATCTCACACGCACGGATTGGCTCCCACTGGCGGCGTCTCGTTGCTCGACTGCTTCCCCCCCGAAGGGGGCAGGGAGCCCGGCAGAAGGGCGCAGCAGTCTGAAGTCGGATGGCACTCGGCAATCGATCGGGATCGACCCGTCGACAAGGAGAGACAGCGCAAAAGGCGGTCACCTCCAGGTCGCCTCCGCGCCGGAAGCCGGCGCGGCGCCAGATCTGGCGGCTGAGGTTGCCCTGGCCGCGGGCGCCGATCTGGCGGCTGAGGTCGCCGCGGGGGAGGACGTCGCCAAGGGACTCGGGAGGAGGGCTGAGACCCCAAGGATCAGGAGAAGGGGAGATGAGGAAACCCGGGGATCAAGAGGGGAGGGAAGGGGGGTCGGGCGTCGAGGAAGAAGGGAGGCGCATATCCAGGGGAAGGGGAGGCGGCTCTGAAGAGGAGAATAGACAGGGGCGCCCAACAGTGCTTCTCCTCCTCCTCATCCTCCTTCGCATCATCAGCATCACCAGCATCAGCATCATCATCAGCATCATCATCAGCATCATCATCATCATCATCATCATCATCATCATCATCATCATCATCATCATCATCATCATACTCATCATCATGTTCACCAGCACCATCAACAGCATCAATAATGTCACCATCTGTACCAACATCATCATCAACATCATCATCATCATCATCATCAGCATCACCATCAACATCCTCAGCCTTGCATTCATCCCAGGTCTGGCGGCGACGATCATGGTCCCTGATTTTTCTCACGGCCACCCTGCAGCGAATCACCAGCCTCGCACGAGGGAAAAAAAGTGCTGGCAACGAATGGCGCTAACCCACCCTTTGCGGAAACCGCAGCATACGAACAACCTGCAAAGCACCGCGGGCCCCAACATACGCCCGTGCGGGAGCTATGAATGGCTGATGAATACGAAGCAGCTCCCGCCTTCCTCGCGGCGTGGATGGCGCACGCTCGGGACACGATTCCCCCACGATCCGAGCAGGCGAGGCCCAAGGCGCCGTCAGCTTGCGCACTGCAGCAAGGCCACGTCGGGGCAATAATCTGACAACGGCAACAAACACGCGAGAAAAACGAGCGATCGGAGCCCAAGCTCCGTAACATCCCGACGCAGCCAATAGGGGGGAGGGGGGAGCGGAAGGAGAAAGGAGACAGGGGAAGAGACAAGAAGGCGAACATACGTTCGCGGCAATCTGGTTCCCCAGATCCTCAAGCCCAACACGCAAGAGTTCAGAGCGGGCTACAGTACCCAGCACAAGACCGTCAAACAATTCAATACATGTCGGGTGGCATGGCTGCCAAAGGAAGATGCCTGAACATGACGAGGCGTGGAAGCCGAAGCCGCGCGGCGCGGCAGACTGGCGCGGACGAGCGCCCGCACGGGCGGCCATCGCCCGTATAAATAAAACCCCAGGGCGACACATAGCGAAAGCGGGGCCCGATGCCGAAGAGCCGACGATAGAACAGCTCATCATCCTGGAGTAGACGAGAGCGCTCCACCACTCGCAAAGTAACTACTCGCAAATGGCCTGGATCCGCCGCTGTGGATTTACGAGATATTACACCGAGACAAGGAAATGTGTGTTTTCGGCTTTTGCGAGTAAGCACTTTGCAAGTAGTTGGGCGCGCTCGGTAACTGAGGGAGAAGGACGGGAGACTGGCGACTGGAGGAGGAACTAGGGGACCGCGCATGCGGCGCTCGCGCGGCCACTATTTGAAGCTGCGTTCCAAATATTACTGATAGCGGCCGTCAACAAAATGGCGATGCTAATGTACTCGTGGTCCGGGTAAGCGTTCTTGCGCGTGGCACTCGCGCTGCTGGCCTCCTTCGCGGTATTCCCAGCCGTGCCACGGCCAGCCCAAGGAGGCCGCAACGTCTTCGGAGCTGGGCTTGGCAATTACCGACGCAGTGCTCGAAGACTTGGCGCATGCAAGGGAACGCGATGGGAAAATCAATCTAAACGCCAAAACTTGAAACGAGCTGAGACCGACGGAAGCCATGGCAAGTCCAACACTCAGCAGAAAGTGGGATGTCTTGCATACCAGTTACCTGGCAGGGTTGCGCGTGGCCGTCGGCGAAACAGAAAGTCAAATTGAAGCTGATGGAGGCTGTGGCGGTCCTGGTGTCGCTCCGAATCGCGCCAGCTACGCGGACGCCGCGGCGCGCAGCGCAGCCTGTGTCAGCGACGGCGGTCACGGTGGACATGCGCCTACGCCTGATCCATTTGAACCGTAGATGTTGATGCTGGCGTCGGTGCTGGCGTCGTCGCTGGCGTAGGAGCGGGCGTTCGCTGGCGACGACTCTGGCGTCGGTGCTGGAGTAGGCACTGGTGTCGATGCCAACGTAGGCGCCGGCGTTGGCGCCGGCGCGGGCGATGGCGTCGGCGCCGGCATAGGCGCTGGCGCCAGGGCCAGCGGCCAGCGTAGGCGTCGGGTCGGGCGTCTGCAATTGCATCGGTGCCGGCGTAGGCGCCAGCGCTGTTGCCGGCCGCGGCACCAGCATCGGCACTGGCGCAGGCGCCAGTGCCAGCGTGGGCGATGACGTTGGCGCTGGCGGCGGTGCCAGCGTCGGCGCCGGCGTTCGCGCGCTCTTGAGCCTGTTTATTTTGGACTCAGGCAAGTTTACTTGCATGGCGTTCGCCCCCCCCCCCCCCCCCCCCCCCAGCCCCTCTTCAAGCGAATACTAGCGTGCAAGTGCCTTTCGACTTGCGTGATTTCCGCGCCCCCCCCCCGGGCTTGCTTCAGGCTCACCCCCCCCCCCCCCCCCGTCCACGCAGGTAAACTTGCCGGAGCCTATAAAAAAAACACGCTCCTTGCGCGCGCTGGCGCCGACGCAGGCGCCGGCGTCGGCGCCTCCGTCGGAGCGTAGGCGCCGGCAACGGCGCTTGCGCAAGCTCGAGCATTGATGCTGCCATCGGCGCTGGCGTCGGCCCCCAGGACTGGGCGCGTCGATATTACACCGCGACAGAAGTGAAAGGACACAGAAGGAGCACCCAGGACCCGAGAGCCCAAACAAAATGTGGTTTTTTGATTGCTCCATTCGTGATCCCAATCGCGGATGGCCCCAGTCGTCCCTTTGGCGGCTTTTGCACAGGCGCTGCGGATGGCGCTGGTGCCAACGGGGAGCGCGCTGGCGGTCCCAATCGCGATGTCGCATTGCTGCTGATCGCTGCGCTAGACCAATGCACGACACCGCCGGTTGCGCCGGCGCTGCTGCGCGAGGCGCTGCCGGACCCGACCGCAACGCTCACGATGGCGATGCTGCGCGCGCTGGCGCCATCGCATGTGACGCACGCGTGCACTGGTACCGCTGCACGTGGTGCCCGCGCCGTTGCTCTCGCGCGCCGCAGTCCCTCTCGTGCTGCTCACGGTCGTCATATTTTCGCCAATGCCTGGGGGGCCCGAGCCACTCTGCAAGCATCGGCACGAGCGGCGAATGAGCAATGGGCGCGGGCGTCGGGCTGGGGCTTCGGCATCGACGCAGAGTCGGTGCACGCGGCGGCTAGAGTCTGCGCAACCATCGGGCAGTAAATGGGCACGACCGCGCGACTCGGCAAAAGCGCCGGAACGGAGCGACGGCGCCTGCCTCAGGACGCACTGCACTTGCAAACATCGCAGATGGCCTTCGTTCGCCGCGTTCCACCCCTCCTCATCCCAAAAGCAAACGTGCCGCCGATTGTACTGCATTGCCGATCGCCCACGTGCGTTCCCATTCCGCCCGTTGCGCCCTCCGCTCCGACGAGCGCCGACTCCGCGACGCGTCGCAGCGCCAAGCGCGTCGGGGGGGGGGGGGGGGGCGTCCGTCCCTTGCGTCGGCCAGGCTGGCGGGGCACATGTCCAGATAAGCAAAGGGCGCGGCAAGCCGCCCGCGGCTGCGCCCCCGAGCGAAATGGCCCGCCAGCGCCCGCGAGCGCGCCAGAATGGCCCCGTCGCGCAGATCATCGTCGCACCGAAAAGGCTTTAAAAATTGAGTCGCCACGCTGCGTTGCGTCGCGCCGCTGGCCTCTCGACCAGACGTCGGCGGCAGAATCGGAGGCGGCGGCGGAACCGAGCGCCGCGCTGCCAGCGCCGGTCGCGCTGCGCAATGCCACCCGCGCCTGCCAGCGTAAATTTGCGCCGGGTCCCGAGAAACCCCGTTACATTGCGGGCGCCCGCGCTGGGTGGCGACGGCGACAACGCATGCGGCATCGACCCTCGCAGTCGCATTTCTGCTCAGCGCACAGACGCTGCTCCGACTGGCCCCATCGGTCTCTGCCGGGGCGCGGACAGCGGCGCCCCCGGGCGCAGCGGCGACGCCGAAGACGCTTGCCATGGCTAGTTAACTGGCGGAATGCTTGCCGCGACAAACTAGAGCCCGCGACGTCGGTCGAAGAAGTCGACGTTGGGGCGGGCGCCAGCGCTGGAGACGCCGGCGGCGCAATCGCGGAGACAAGGACGAAGGCCCCATGAAGTTTTTTTTACATTAATTATTCACTGCGTGGGGATCCCCATATGTGCATCTCCTTGCTGGCGCTCCCTTGGTGGTGGGACTCGGTGAGGACGAATCTGGATTTAAGTGTGACTGAGCTGCCTCTCTCTCTGCTCTCTCTGCTCTCTCTGTCTCTCTCTCTCTCTCTGCCCTCTCTCTGTCTCTGCCTCTCTTTCCCTGCCTCTCTCTCTCTCTCTGCCTCTCTCTCTGCCTCTGTCTCTCTGCCTCTCTCTCTCTGCCTCTCTCTCTGTGCCTCTCTCTCTCTGCCTCTATCTCTGCCTCTCTCTCTCTCTCTCTCTCTCTCTCTTCTCTCTATTCTCTCTCTGCTCTCTCCTCTCTCTCTCACTCTCCCTCTCTCTCTCTCGCTCTCTCTCTTCTCTTCTCTTCTCTTCTCTTCTCTTCTCTTCTCTTCTCTCTCTCTCTCTCTATCTCTCTCTCTCTTTCTCTCTCTCTCTATCTCTCTCTCTCTCTCTTCCCTCGCTCTCTCTCTCTCTCTCTCTCTCTCTCTCTCTCTCTCTCTCTCTCTCTCTCTCTTCTCTCTCTCTCTCTCTCTCTCTTTCGCTCTCTCGCTCTCTCTTGCTCTCTCTCTCTCTCTCTCGCTCTCTCCCGCTCTCTCTCTCTCTCTCTCTCTCTCTCTCTCTCTCTCTCTCTCTCTCTCTCTCTCTCTCTCTCTCTCTCTCTCTCTCTCTCTCTCTCTCTCTCCTCTCTGCTCTCTTCGCTACTGGCTTCTGACGGAGTCTGGGTTAGGTGAGCCTGAGTGTGGGTGAGTCTGAGTATGGGTACGTCTGTGTGTGCCTGACTCTGAA